TAAATCAAGCAGGACGTAGGGTTTACCTCCATCAAGAGGGCCCGAACCTGGGTAAAACTTCGTGACCCTTGCCTCCTGTTACCATCCGGCCTAGACGCACAGTTCGGGACCCCCTACCCGAGATCCGCCGGTTTTAACACCGACAGTGGCTCCCCTAGTTGTTTTTAGGATATATGGGAATATACAGGCAGAAGAAATAGGTCGGTGGAGTCATGAGGGGCCCACAAAGGGTGGGGGCGCGCCCTCCATCCTTGTGGCTGCTGCGTGGCTTCCCTAACATGCACCCCAAGTCCTCTAGATGTCTTCTGGTCCAAGAAAAATCATCGTGAAAGTTTTATTCCATTTGGACTCCGTTTAGTATTCCTTTTCTGTGAAACTCTAAAACAAGGAAAAAATAGAAACTGGCACTGGGCTCTAGGTTAATAGGTTAGTCCCAAAAATCATATAAAATAGCATATTAATGCATATAAAACATCCAAAACAGATAATATAATACCATGGAACAATCAAAAATTATAGATACATTGGAGACGTATCATGTCCCAACATGTTGTTCATCCGGTTGTGCACACTGAAGACACATCCATGCTTCATGAACGGCAGGCCTTCGGTGTCGTGCACAGAAGGTGGCATCCGTTTCATAGTGGGCTAGTGATACGTCTCCAACGTATCTATAATTTTTGATTGTTTCATGCTATTATATTATCAATCTTGGATGCTTTATATGCAATTTTATATCGTTTTTGGGAACTACCCTATTAACTTAGTGCCCGGTGCCCATTCCTGTTTTCTACGTGTTTTTTTGTTTTTCAGAAATCAATACCAAACGGAGTCCAAACACGATGATTTTTTTCTGAACCAGAAGGGACCCTCGAAGCTTCGGGAGGAGGCCAGAAGAGATACTAAAGAGCCACAAGCTCACATGGCGCACCCCCAGGGGGCACACCACTTGAGCTTGTGGGCCCCATGCAGCCCCATTTGACCTAATTCCAAGCCTATAAATTCCCATAAATCCCAAAACCAACAAAGACCCACCCGAAACAATTCTTCCGCCACAAGCTTCTATTCTTCCTTGATCCCATCTTGAGGCCTTTTCTGGTACTCTGCCGGAGGGGGAATTGATCACGTAGGGCTTCTACATCAACCTTGCCACCCTTCAGATGATGTGTGAGTAGTTCACCACAGACCTACGGGTCCATAGCTAGTAGCTAGATGGCTTCTTCTCTCTCTCTTTGATCTTCAATACAATGTTCTCTTCAGAGATCGATTTGATGTAATCTTTTTGCGGTGTGTTTGTTGGGATCCGCTGAATTGTGGGTTTATGATTTGTAATATTCATTGAAAGTAATTGAGTCTTTGCTGAACTTTATTATGCATGATTTTTATATCTTCATATTTCTCTCTGATCTATCTGTTTGGTTTGGCCAACTAGGTTGATTTATCTTCAATGGGAGAGGTGCTTTGTAGTGGATTCAATCTTGCGGTGTCCTCACGCAGTGAAAGTAGGGGCAGAGAGGCACGTATTTGTATTGTTGCCACTAAGGGTAAAACAACATGGTTTAATCACATTGCTTAGTTTTATTCTTTTGAACTATTGGAGTTGCTTGAACCTTTCTTCTGGAATTGGCTCTTCATGTGAAGGCGCTGGAATCTTTTCATGATTAATGCAAGATCTTTGCTGAGCCTTCCTGTGCCATCTGAATCTTCTTTGGAACTTCCATCAGAGGAAGAATCAGCTACAACCTTAAGAGCATGATTTTTGCATTGACTTGAGCCATAGAGATCTCTTTTCTCTTCTTCTTGTTCCTTGTGGGTGTTCAGTCTTTCCATGATATCAGTAGAGTCGAGGGTTTTGAAATCAGCTCATTCACGAATCATCAGGACAAGTGTGTCGAATGAACTGTCAAGTGATCAGAGCAGTTTCTTTACAACTTCATGATCAGTGATGTCTTTGGCACTGAGACCTTGAAGCTCATTTGCTATGTCACTTAGACGATCGAAGGTTTCCTGACATCTTTCATTACCAACGAGCTTGAATCAATTGAATTTCGCTCGAAGAGTATCAATTCGAGCTTCTTTTTTAGTTGAAACACTTCATTTATATTCTCGAGAACATCCCACGAATCCTTCGCAGTTTCACACTGACGATAGCGAAGAAATTGAGCACGAGAGAGATGGCCACCAATTTCATCTTTAGCTTGAGCATCCATCTGAATGAGTTTCTTCTCCTAGTCAGTGGGGGCTTGAGGTATTTCAACCGTGAACCCAAAATGCACCACATTCCACATATCATCATCAATAGCTCAGAGACAGATCTTCATCTTCTCCTTCCAGAAGGGATAGTCCATCCCATCGAAGATGGGAATCTTGAGATGCGACTTGTAGCTCACCAAAGACATACTTAAACTCCAAGGTGGTTAGACCAAAATGAACATAGTCAAGGAGTACATTGCTCTGATACCAATTGTATGAACAAAGTATGTCTACCATAGGGGGGTGGGGTGAATATGGGAGTTTTAAAATTTCTTCAGAAATCCCCAAACTCTCGGAACCCAGCAGCGGAGCAAACGAAAAACAAACTACAACGAGCTATAACTAAGTACCGAATGGAAACTAAAGCATGCATCGAGACAAATCACATGAGGAAAGATAAATAGAGTGTAAACATGGGTAGCAGAGGTAACCAGAGATGCTCGATGGCGACATGATATTTTTTCAACCAGTTCGTCCTTCTGCACAAGGACTACGTCTGGTTGGAGGGGTTGTGACTTAACACGGAAGATAAACTCTCGTCACCCTATTCTCCTCGACAATTGGTTCATCAACCAATGTCGACCAGTCGTGGTAGATACTTGAGGCGATCTCCAAACCTTTACAGACTTCTTTGAGAATCACAATCATTCTTGGTCTCTGAAGAAATTGACACATAACCATCTAGAGAGTTTGCATCTCTCAAGAGTAATAGACGAATCGTACTAGACTTAGATTCGAGTGATGCTGAACCACTATCTAATTCTTCGGCTCTAGGGATTTTCTCTCGGTGGATTTTAAACCCAAATCGCTCAGAGAGAGCGTTGCTCAAGAATCTTCTCAGAATCAAACGGAGTAGCCGCCGGACAAAGCCGGCGCGGGGTGGCTATTTATAGCCATAGCCTTCCCTGGTGGGAAATGACCATTTTGGACATGCAGTCCAGCCAATGGCCAACCGACACGTTCACAACGTCAGATTTTGGAGCAACGATAACATTACTTGAGGAACAAGTAATGCTAACTCCTCGGTCCGAGACAAATCTCTCAGAAGATCACAATCTCTTGCTGGCAAGTATTTGCTCGGAGCACAAAGAGATTTCTCTCACAACTTTCATAGGATTTGGGTTTAGCATCGGAGAATCAAAGTTTCGAACACTACACACCTCTTAATAGTACAATGGTCATGTGACTCAACAAAAAGAAGAAAAACAACGAAATAAATGCTATGTCTTCACTTCATCGTCATTCTCCTCGGACGCAGTCATTTTCTTCGAACAGGCACCGAACCAATTGCTTCACTTCAACAATATTTGAGGGGTCACTCTTGTTATCATAATCTTCGGTGATAACCTACACTGCAACGCAGGGAGATTACCTTCGTCGTTTACATCAAACTCCTCGTGATCTCAGGGACTTGTTACTCGGTGTGCACTAGCAAACACATAAGTCCCAAACTGTTTATGTCAACAAGCTCCAAGACATAAGGGGCCTATCATTACGCCAACACCCAGTGTGCGACAATGTCACGAATCCCGGCGCACCATGGGGGACCAAGGCATGGACGAGTGGGCCGATGTCGGCAATACAACGACCCTCCAGCCAATGATCCGTAAAAAACACCCACTCGAGCCATTGCCTAGAATCCAGGACGTGGAGGCGCACATGATCGCAAGAACGTCGGGGTCATACAGGGATCAGGAGGTGGGCCCAAGGGTACCCACCGTCAGTCCGCTGCAGTCATACCCATTTGATGCGAAGGGCGATGCTGGCACGATGGATATCTCATATGCCAAGGGCCCCAAGCTGAACCGGGCAGCGCACGCGCGCCCAGTTGACCTTGCATTGTCCACCATTGGCTCTCTTGCGACCAACCCAAAGGAAGCCTTGGATCACCTGGTTGACATGAGCCAACACGGACTTGTGGAGGGTGAGAGCGGTCAAAATATGGGCGGGGATGGCACACAACACATGGCGAACAAGAGATAGTCGATCAGGAAGTGAGAGCATTGATGCACCCCAGGTGGACAACTTCCTCGCGACCTTGTCGACGAGCGGGTCCAGTGCTGAGGAGTGAAGCTTACAGATCGACAGAGGGAGGCCGAGGTCATATCTCTCGTTATTATTGCCTCTAGGGCATATCTCAATCGCATGTTGCGAGACTTTATCATTAGCCAAACATTTGCTTATCTAGAACTTTGTTGTTGCTTCATATTCGAAACTGATGATCAAGGATATCGACAAAGGAACGGGTAGCAGCTATGGGAACATCATCAAGGAGATCAAGCAGCAAGCAACAAATTTTAATTGCACATTTATTTGAAGGTCGAGCGGCAAATTTATATGCATATAATTTAGCTAAGTATTTAAATTCTCCTGAGCAGGGGCGTCGCTTGTGGTTGGGCCAACCCATGATCAATTTTGCATCTTATTATGTAGCTTTCGATCAATAAAACTTAGCTTTAACCTAAAAAAAGTAAAAAGGGCTAGAGGACAAATATTTTACAAAATGCAGCCTTACACGTAAACAATCGATATCCATCCCTAAAAAAATCGATATCCAATTTTTTCAAAAGATTGGAACAACTCGAAGTGACGATTGATGAAAACGCTGGGAGCATGGAAGGGACGGTAAACAGCACACCGGTTGCACGCACGCAGGCTGACGCTGACACATACTAGTAGCGACTGGCCCCAGTAGCCGCTAGAAGATTCTCACCCACGGGCACTGCCTTTTCCCAAAAGGCGGAAAGATGGGGCAGGAGGCGGAGGCGGATGCGGATGAGCAGCTGCAGCGGCGGCTCCGGCGGGTGTTCGCTGCCGAGGAGCGGTCGTTCCGCATGGATCGGCGCTCGCCGGCCGCCGCCGACCTCCGCTCCGCCGTCGCCGACGTGCTCCCCCGATTCCTCGGCAACTACTCCGACGAGACCCTCGCGGTACCACCCCAAATATCCCCTTCATTCTCTCGCACGCACGCGTGCCCTAGAACTTGCCAGTGCCGATGCTTGGTGGGATGCGGTTGCGTCTCGATCCTGCGTGGTTCCGTGTGCTAATTGGTCTCGGGAATGTCACGATGTGAGTGTGGATGGGCCTCCGCGTCTGGGGCTGTACCAAGGGGATTGGGGTGGCTCTGAATGGACTATATGCATGTGCTTGTTTGTTGAATGCTCTGCCTGGGTCGAGTGATTGGCAGATTGGCACCCAAGTGAAATTTAAGTTGGAGAGGTGATGGATTAGACTATCTATCTGGAACATTCAGCTTGTTTAACTTTTCCTAGGAACTCTATATTAGTTAGGTATGGACTTCCCAGGATCTCAATTCAGAAACGTGAGCCTTCTAATTGGTCGTCCCAGCCTCAATCGCATCAGAAGTGGTGCGAAGATATATTTAAAGTAGTTTTCTGACATAACGGACCAGTGTGTTCTCTTCTTAACCCTCATAAACAGTCCTTATCAATTCGATATACCTACCTCCTTTCCTCGCTGATAGCCTTGATTTCACTTTTTTTTGTGTGCGCCTCTGTTCCATTGCTGTGCCCTACAATTTGCAAATTAAGCATTATAGTACACAAGCCTATAGATACTTCATAAAGCATAAGTTCATAATGCTACCAACACCTAACTGTGGCAAAGCCAGTGTGTTTGAGGCACAAATGTATTGTTGTGGTCAGGTTTATATGATCTATGAGTCAAATATGACGGGACACTGATGATGAGTTTTGTTCAGTAGTAACTTTCACCAGTTCTTTAGGTGATTAAGATGTTTCTGGGTGCTGCTTCATTGACATGGAAGACTGTAGAGACATTGTATAATACTCCCTCCGATCGCAAATATAAGATGTTCTAACTTTTTCCTGAATCGGTTGCACATAGACATGTTTTAGTGTGTTTGTTCACTCATTTCAGTCCGTATGTAGTCCATATTGAAATATCCAAAACATCTTATATTTGTGAATGGAGGGAGTAATATTGAAGGCTGTAAAATGGATTGTATTGTTTTCACATCACCTTGAGATAAAGTGAACACATGTAGTTCAGTACAATTTCAGTTGTCCAATTATATTTGTAGATTGGTGATTTGACCAATTCATGATAATGAAGAGGATATTTGCATAAGAAGACATGCGAAGGGGCAGTGGAGTGTCTCAACACATATCTAGTGATCATTTCCCTTCGAAAAGGGTGTATGTTCACCCGCAAAAAAAGAAGAAAAGAAAAGGGTGTATGTTCCCTCTTGCCTACACCTAATGTGTTTTCATTAGATTTTAGACATGTTCTCCTATAAGTCTTCCTGGAGCGAGAGTTGAGGGCTGCTGTTAAACGGATTTAGCAAAGAGATTTTTTTGGGTCTTAGATTGATAATCTCAAAGAAAGAAACATTGAAGCACAACCTTGGCATCCTCACTTGATAAGTGCATGTGGCAACTTCCTCAGTTTTCTATGCTGCTATGTTGTATGCCAGGTTTGAGAACTACATTACTCTCTTTAGTTTAGTTGGTAGGATAACCGTGAGTTTTCATTGCATGTTTTGCCAAATATGCAAGATTCGACTGTTTGAGTTCTTGGTATGTTTGTTTTCATGTTAATATAAACAAGATGCTTTATAGCTGTTGATTGCATAATGACTGATAATTCTTCTTTTCTTTTCTCCCTGACTAAAGGAGTACATTGTAATTTTAGTTTGTAATGGGAAACATCAGTATCAAGCACGCGATGATTTGGAGGCCTTTCTTGGTGATGATAGTGCAAAATTTGTTGCATGGTATTATAGCTGCCATTTAATCAATTAGTTGTGTTCTTGATATGTGTACTTTTATGAGGCCATGATGTTTTTTTGCATGACTAAGCAGGCTTTGGGGTTACCTAAGCAAAACGGCTGTAGCACTGGCTAATGATTCTAGCGTGCAACATAGGCTGGAAAATGAAAGTCAGGACCGGAATGACAAGAAAAATCTTCTGGTCTCAAAAACCCAACCCGGGGAGGCTCATATTGTAAGGATCTTACCCTCTTTCCTCTTACAATCATCAGTCGCCACACAACATTTAATTGTCTTCATCATATCCAGTTATCCACTAGTTCAACTTAATTGAGCATCCGTTAACTTCTTTCAAGTCAAAATGCCCAAATTATGCATGTATCATGACTTACGAACACTCAGTCAAACTCATCCACTGTTGAGCAGGCAAACTCAAATATCTTAGTACCACAAGAGCATAATGGCCTTCACAAGCTTGATTTAAGTAAGGGACAAAATGTGGCCCAGCGACGCATTAGTTCAACTGTTACCATTTCCCCTAAAATGGTGGCTGGTGACGAATGTTATCGGGAGGGCCAGCATCAGAAGGTAAATACTCAATGGGCCATGCATCTGTTGTTAAGTACCTACATTTGTAGGATGTGCTATGGAAAGGATGCATCTAACTTGATGATTCTATGTCAGAGCAGAAAGATTGGAGTTTAACAGGTGGCAGAAGTTCCTCCATGCGGCAGTCTGGTGTAGCTGCAAAGACTGAACATACATTGATGCAAGGCAAGCATTTTTTTTCTTATGCGACAGCTCAATTCTAGGACAATATGTTCTTGAACCATTTGACATATGATAGCTACTTCAAACTACTCAATACACCCACGAGAAGTACTAAATGTCTCGTGCCATGTATAATATACTGGACCACATCTATATGTCACATGCACACCCCTTTATCAAAACCGGTTCTCTTTTTTTCATCTGAACATTTTGTTTGTACTTTGTATTTTACTGTATGCTGCATTTTTTTTCTACTAAAAAAGATGTTTACCAGCTTCTATAAGGCTAGGCGATTCAATTTTTAAAGAAGATAACGATGCTTTCTTACTTTGCGGGTTAATGTCCTTCCAAAGTTGTATGAATATCTCTGTAAATATCCTAGTATTTAGTCTTGTAATTTTCTTCTTCTATATCAATAAATATACAATCTTTGGTCATCCCTATAGTTCTCCGTTAAAATTATCTTGCCTGAATATGATTCAAGATGGTCTGTAACCAATCTTTTTTTGGGGTCATGTGCTTGCTCTTGTTTTATCTAACATCCCCTGATTAGCTTGCATGCTTAGGTGTGACTTTAAATGGAGTTAAGGTTCTGATTATCCTACTTTAACTTATGAAAAATCATTTGCCTTTAAGTTCTATACATACAAGCAACATGATTTCCCTTAGTTATGGAGGCTGTGTATGTATTTCTAGAAAGTTGAAGTGGCTAAGTTTCTCACAAATGTCCCTTAAAAGGACTTTTTTCATGTGTCTGTCCAGTTTGGTTGAAGTGTTGTACTGATTCAGGCTCTTGGTGTCCAGTTTGGCTTGTCTCAACTCAATCCCGAATGAGAGTACAAGTTTGAAGGTGCAACTGAGATTGTATGAAAAAATGGTTCTGTCTGTTTGCTTGTAGATGGATTGAAGTTGAACAAAGAAGGGATTCAAACATTGTTTTATTGAAAAAGAGAATAATTGCTTTTGCCGGAAATGGCCACACTGCCAAAGTACGTTACAGAGGCAACCTTAAAGGCAATAATACCATATATGGACTTTATAACATAACTCCATAGTGTTGTTCTATGATCTAAACGATGACTCTCTTGGTGCGTATCTTCTACTCCCTCTGTTCACTTTTATAAGACGTTTAGACAATTCAGACAATGCCCAAAACAGTTCAATGTCAGCTGTCCAAAACGTCTTATAAAAAAGAATGGAGGGAGTATCTTTTTTTTGGCAAACTATATTTTTTAAAAACTATATGATTTTGCAATTTGTATGGACTTTGATCCTATGGCATGGAGTCAGGGAATCCATGTTATGTTTCTCGACATTCCTTATCCTTGAATACTAGATTGTAGAGTTGAAATGGTAACTACCAAAATTACTAATACTACCTTGAGCTGATCCATATTCCTTTCTGTACTCCATTTGATTCGGGAAACTACACCAGCAGTCCTGGGTTTAAGTTTTGGGGTCGGCTGTTTGCCAAAAGATCAAAAGTGGTATTCTTTGATATTGATTTACTGTTATTCGAAAACCTAATGCAGAGGAACCCCATGATGAGCATCTTGGCGGAAATTCCTCCACAAGACGTTTGCCTGTGGCCATGGGAACTGATGATGGTGAAGTGCCAGAATCCATGAGAAGGCCCCGCAATGTTTGGGACAGGCTAGGGAAGCCTGCTATGGAGGATCAAGGTTTAGCTACAGAAGCTGACAACATGCATGTTGAAAATTTAATGCATAAGAAGGCCAAGTTAATGGTGTCTGAGCATGAACGAAGATGCCGTGTTAACTCAAGTACGGAAGGCGATTTATTTGACAGAGCAAATTCTGGAAACTTTTCCAGTAGTTACCCAGATGTCAATACAGCACACGCACATGAGCCCGGGGAGAAATCCAACAGAAGCAGGCTGACCGGTCGGTTGAATTTTGGTGATGTGGAGCGTAATCGTCATCAAGTTAGAGATGTTATTAGCCGGAAGTCTACTTCAACTCCGCCAGTGAAAAGTTTTGTTTCACAAAGTTTGAATGAGTTCACATCCAAGGTGAAGAGCTCACCTGCATCAGTTTCTGAACCAGCACGGCATGCAAACTCGTTAAAAGGACATGTATCAGCATCTGACAAATTGTCCCAGTTAAATATGCGGCTAAATTCAGGAACTGATGTTTTGCAAAGTCAGCAAATTAGCAGCCCTGCACAGTCCAAGAGTGGGTCTTCTGTTCGTGAAGATGGTGGCAATTACAGTAACAAACCAGTAAAAGATGTAAGCTATCCTTGTTGAGTAACTTGTTTTCTATTTGGGATCTTCTAGCGACCTAAAATGGTTGTCGTAACTGATTATGCAGGAGATGTTGGATGTGAAACTAAAGCTAAAGCAGGTGGAACTAGACATGCTCAAGCTTCGGTCCAAGCAGGCGCAGATAAACAATGGGAAGCAAGGAGCCCTCCCATCAGGTTTGTCCTATTGTTCTTTAGTCCCTTCTGTTTCTATATGAATACATTCATACAAAGGAACCTAAGGAAAATGACATTGGATTTACTACTACATGCCAAAATATAGCGTGACATAATTTTCTGAGATAGCAGTTGGTTCACCAGTTTGTTCTTGCAAATCTATTAGGTCATCTGTTGAGTGAGTCATCTGCAATTATTTCTAGCGATTTATTATCAGTGATATAGTCACCTAGGTCAATATGCTTGGCTGCTTGTGACTGCGGTCCTGAAAAAAATGGTCATCAGTAATTTGTTGGTCCTTTCACTGGTTTGTATGGTCTCTTGTCTATGTTGGCAGCAAGAGCCCCCTAGTTTAAACATGAGGGCAGTTTATTGGTGAAATGCTCTACAATGGTGCATAGCAGCGTTATATTCTTGGTTATAAATTGCAAAAATATGATGATACTCCCATCACTTAATCCAAAAACAGACAGCCAAAATACAAGAATCCATATGATTTGAAATGACATCAAAAGAGGGAAACCAATTAATCAGTCTTTTATCCTCCACAGAATTCATATTATTTGTAGAAAGGCTTGTTACCTCCCTGATGTTTGATGCTTAATCTACTTGTCCGCCAAAGCTATTAAACCATATACCCACCAGAAAATTTGTGAAACAGGCCAGCTACCCTCTTGGAGATCAGATTCTTTCCATGTCAAATGACTTGGCAGTCAGAATAAGATCGAAGAGAACTCTCTCGCAACTCGAATGGTCGAGAATTTGAGATAATTTCCTCAAAAACCTTCCACGCACTGATGATCAGCGATTCGTCCCTCTAGCAGCTGGCCATGTGGAAGATGTATCAAAGCTCAGCATTATGTTCTACCACAGTGTGGCTCGGGCCTTTTCAGGACCCACATGCCGCTGCTTCTCCAACCAGGCTGCCCTGTATTCTCTAGATCCGTTTGAGGAGCCCAATCTACAAGATTTTCCACTATTTATTTTATCACCAGATGTGGTCCCTGTATATTTCCACTTCACCCTATTTGGCTGTAAGCTCCTGCATCCTCTTTTTTGCCTGCGGATTGGTTGCAGCTGATTGTTCTTCCGCAACCACAGTCCTTGTTCTCACTCTCTCTGGTCAGCACTTCTGCATTAGCATCCACAGTGACATGTTACTGGAGCTTGCATGTGCCACTGCTGTTTTCGTAAACTGCCACATCGGTGTCCTAGGAAACCATGCCTCGTAGTGCCAGGAAAGCTGTGTCATCAATCTACTAAAGCATTGTTGTGGAAGTAATGGCTTGGTGGAGGGGCAGGCAGGATGGTGGTTAGAGCCAACTTTGAGGACAAAGGTGAGACTGCTATCTCAGATGAAGGAGGTTCCAAACAATGGAAGACAGGCTGTTTTCGATAATCCACTTCTGAGCCCAGGCTCATCTGACCCGCGCTGATGAAAAAAATCAAAACAAATACTAGAAAAATTCAAAAAATTCCATTTTTTTTGCATGGTAGATAATTTGATGTGTGAGGTCTGCTCCAGTTTTCAAATCATTTGGACATCTGAGCAGCTCTCGGCAAAAAAGACAAATTCAGGGTCTGTAAAAAAGTTTACTGTTCATGCACTGTTCTGACCCGATTTGTCTTTTGCTGAGAGCTACTCAGATGTCCAAATGATCGAAAATTGGAGCGGACCTCACCCAATAAATTTTCTACCATGCAATTTTTTTGGAAATTTTTGAATTTGTTGTGATTTGTTTTCTAACCGGGTGCAGATGAGCCTGGGCACCAAAACGCTGCACTCGGCTGTTTTCCTTTATTTAATTTGGTTTGTCGAGTCAACATTAGAAATGTCGAAAGTTCCTTCTGGACACTGGCACTTGGTTGTTATTTGCTTAAACACACTTTGAAATTAACAATATGCTGATGGACACAAAGCTGGCTTTATCTGAACAAACAAGTATGTCATGTCAAAATCCAGAATACAGGAGGTGGAAAAGTCCTATTTGCCGTTCTGAGAGAGACAAGAATTATGTTTGCCGTTTTTGTATCTGTGTTTATGTCAAAATCCAGAAGAGAGAAGAGGTGGAAAAGTATATTTGCCATTGGACAAGACAAGAGTTACGTTGGCCGTTTGCGTATGTATGTTTAGTCCTTTTAGTATAATCAACACAAAAGTAAATCAAAGTTGCATCCTGGCTAACAGAACAACACAAGAGATATCCATCAAGGTGGTACATGTGCTTTTATTTTGGTAAAATTTTACGAGTCAGCTAGGTTTTGATCTTGTTTGCAGAACATGATACTGAATTGCCAAAACTATTTCTTCACAACTTGTTTGGGACTAAAGGCTTTTGTTTCTTCACAACAGCTTATATAAAGTAAGATCAGCACCAGTCGGGTCGGGTTTGGTTGGGTCGACCTCTACTAGACCCATGCCCGGAACGCTTATCAGGTCTGTCGCCCACCCACGACCCTACCCACGGGTCTTGTCTCATGCCCATGCCCAAACCCACGCAGTTACCTGACCCAATCGGGCACCCGCCGGGCTTAGTATTTTTGTTATTATTTAATTTATGCTCCCTTCTGGTGCCATGTACTTCGAACCGAGGAACGCTACTGTTTCTTCTAGTCTCTTATACAGGGTGCTCGCTAGGCGAGGTGGTACTAATGCAGCTGGCAAGCACGTATTTTGCTTGCTTTGTGCATGTAGAGCAACACACAGGATGCATGGGCTGGCTTTGGAGGCTCAACAAGCCAAACTTGTTGATCTCTTGATGCTACTGAGCTAAGCATTTTGTTAATTCATGGTTCTGTCTCTCTACAGTAATAACTAAGCAACGTGGGTGCATGCTGTCCTAAAAAATCTTCACAATTCATGTAAAATAAAACACATATATACTTCTTAATATTAATCGGGCGAACCATGGGTAACCCATGGGCACGAACTCGCATCCATACCCTATCCATGAGTAATCGGTTACCCATGGGCAAAGAGCACGACCCATACCCTACCCATTTGGGTCGGGTGCCCATGGGCGGCCAAACCCATGGGTCGAATTGCCGGCTTGAAGCACAACACAGTTAAGGAAACTTCAAACTGGTGCTTACCCAGTCTGTATTCCATGAAATGACCAAAAACATTAAGCATCAATCGATGATTTTATGATGTGTTTGACTACACGCCAACTAATTGTACCACCCAGCCTATTTTGCATGAAAGCTAGTTTTGTTGTCCACGTCATGACATGTATGGTTAACTGTGATGTATCAGTTGTGGTTCTCAGCTTCTGCTAAAAAAAATCTTCTGCTGTCTGCACCTCCCCTCGGGCCAATAGTCCTTTCTTTTTTGCTTTGTTTACCTGTTTCCAGAGGGCAGTAAAGATAGTCAAACTTTTGAGATACGGCAGCATTTAACTGTTTGGGCACTCTGAAGTTACTTTTTATTTACAGAGAGATAACTCTGAAGCAACTCTGTTTGCGCCTTGGAATGTGGATTGTTTTAAATATATTGAGCAATTTCCTATTTTTTGTTCACCAGCTCAACACTCTTATCCACAGATGGAATTGAGTCTTTTGAAATTTTGTTTTCTTGTAGGGCCCCATTCGAATTTAGAGGAGGATGCCGATGCCAGAACTGTTCTTGTGACAAATGTATGTAAAAGGAACCCATCTCTTTATTTTTGTTCGCCACGGATCACTATAATTTTTGCTCCTTTCTTTTGACCGAAAAAGCTTCTTCATTCTAATTACATCATAGAGGATAAATTTGGTGAGTTACATCTCTGGATGATTGTTTTAGGTGCATTTTGCGGCAACCAAAGAAGCATTATCAACACATTTTATGAAGTGTGGGACAGTGCTTAAGCTCAATATGTTGACAGATGCAATTACTGGCCATCCAAAAGGGTATATTCTTTCATGCTAAGTTTCAGCTTGCTTTCTTCATCTGTGGCATCTACAAGCTCCATATCTGTTCTTAATTCTTGTTGTTTCCCAGGGCTGCATTTGTTACTTTTGCTGACAAGGAATCTATTGGGAGGGCCCTATCTTTGAGTGGGACGTCGTTTTACTCTAGAGTTCTCACAGTAAGACTGTTCTCACTATCAAGCTTGTTGTATCCGTTGTTAAATTGTACCTTTCTCTGTTCCTTTTGATATATGGCTTGCCTTCATACTATGGAACCATATTTTTCTCTCAAAAGAAGCCCCATCATCAAAACTTAAAGTTGGTGTTCCATAATGTACATATAGACAAAGTGGACCTCATCTTAGGCTAAACTGTTTACTGAAATGAAACAGAGGCATATCAAAGTTCATTGTAACTTATAAGTTCAGATCACGTGAGCTCAACTACACTCTCAGCAGTTGTTAACCAGATCCAGATTACAGCATGTAGTCAATAGTTCTGTTATTAAGATCTTGTATTTTCAGGTAATGCGGAAAGCAGAAGCACCTCCTGGATTTTTGGCGTCTATTCAGCAGATTGGGAGGCCGCTGCCATGGAACTCGCCACCATTCCAGAAAGGGGTTAGTCCAAAGCAGTCCTCTGGTCATCATCTCCAGTGGAAACGTGAGCAGTCTGCCATGGAAAATTCCCCTGCCAATTGCCCTACCGACTGAATCTAAGGCAGCGCTTAAGAATCAAAACCTCACCAATGGACATAGCTTTACTGGATCAGGTCTGGGCAAGATGTTATCTTTGGCACCTCTTTATCCTCAGAATGATACTGTTACTGCTGTTCAAACATCTACAGGTTTATTTCTTTCTGATGAGGAATTACAGGCTTTCCTTGCTGCTGGGGTTTGGAACTCGTGAGATGAAACGGGAATTGGTTGCAACCCTAACCAAAGCTATAGACAAGATTCTTTGGTCGGACATGTGTGCTATGTGTCTAGACCCATTCAGAATATGTGTGATCCTCAGGATCGTAGTTGCCGCACTTGTCGAATATGCTAGTGGCAAACTGGCAATATGAAATGTAGTTACAGTTCAACGAACATCTTTGAGATGGTGAGCGAGTACATTCGAATGAAGATGTCAGCGTTGGCCAGCCTTTTGTTATTTGAATTTTGAAGCACGTCTAAGCTGTCGCAGTATGCTTACTGCCTGCGATGTAATAACAACCAACCGATGGAAGACCATAAACTCTTCCAAGCCAGCCCTCGAGTCTCCCGGAAGACTAAACAAAATCATAGCTTTGTATGGGCCTTGCAGCTTTAGTTTGCGGTTACTGGACTGTGATAAATTAGTTTGCGGTTCTCGCGTTGAGATATTAGAAACTACTCCCTCCGTCCCAAGACGTTTTTTGACTTTAGTGTAGTGTCAAAAAACGTCTTACATTATGGGACGAAAGGAGTAGATCTCATGCTAATAGGTTAGGTGACTTTTTTCCTCAAAAAACCTCAGAAAATCATAAATCAAAAATATATATTGAAAAACAGAAATAAAACAGAAATAAAACATATTAGAAAGTACAAAAAAAGGAAACCAAAAAAATGGAAACATGTGAAACTCAAAACGGGAAGCACATATGTGTTTTTCAAAAAAACACACCTGTTTTTTCACTTTTAGGAAAGCACACATGTGTTTTTCATTTTCCAAGAAACACAATTGTGCTTCACACGAAAGCACAGCCGTGATTTTCACTTTACGAGAAGCACTACTGCGCTTCATGTGGAAGCACAACCGTGTTTTTTATTTTTCGGGAAACATAGTTGTGCTTAACCGTGAAGCATATTTGTGTTTTTTCATCGGTGTGCTTCACGCGGGAAAAAATTAAAGAAAGAAGAAAATCAGGAAAACCTAGGAAAACCCAATGAAAATTCAAAACACCCTCCCCCAGAATAAAAAACCCAAAACACGTAAAAAAAAGTTCATGTGGGGTGCGCCCAGCACGCGCCACATGACGGCGGGGGGACGCCCCAAGTGGTGTGCCGGGAGCACTCCCACGGTGTTCATTGGGTCTCCCCGCAAGAGGTGCCCGTGCTTAGTCGGCCCCTTTATCCATCCCAACAGTGTCTTTCTTTCTTGCTGGGCCTTTAGGGGACGAGCCAACTTGCGGTTGCGTCGTGTGTGGCCTTGGGTCGCGTTGTTTGTGTGGGCCAGGTCATAACAGTTTTCACCCCTTGAGGTGCAACTTGACCCCAATTTGGTAGAGATGGAAACTTCGAGACCTCCTATTCGGCGCCTTATGCGCCCGAACAGGTTTCTGGCGCCCACGCAGTGCCTTGTTGGGCCGGCCCAATAAGGCAAAGCGCAAAGAACAAAAACTACACAAAAAGGCACAAAAACTGCTTTCACCCGGAAGGTAGAGCGCAAAGAACAAAAACTACACAAAAAGGCACAAAAATTGCTTTCACCCAGATTCAAACTCACAAAGCCACCCATATATTCCTGGCTTCCTACTTAGCTAACCACTACACCCATTGAACACTTGTAGCCGATAATAGCGCTTATAGAATAAGAACATGTGTGGTTGCGCTATTTATTATCCCTTAGTTTTTTTAAAACATGAATTTGGAAAATGTTCATCGATTTTGAGCCAAAGTTCAACATTTGACGAAAAAATCTCACAAACTACAAAAACAATCATCGATTTTGAGACAAAAGTTCATCATTTTTGAAGAAAAAGTACATAAACTTAAAAAACTCAATGATTTTGAGAAAAAGTTAATCATTTTTAAGAAAAGTTCATCGATTTTGAAAAACGTTTATGGAAAAGTGAAAAAAGTTCATCATTTTCGAAAAAAAGTTCATCGCATTTGAAAAGAAGTTCATCAAATTTGAAAAAAGTTCAACAAAGTTGAAAAAAGTTCATCAAATTTGAAAAAAAGTTCATCGAATATGAAAAACAAATCATGATTTTGGAAAAAAGATCATCGAATTTGAAAAACAAATCATGATTTTGGAAAAAAGTACATCAAATTTGAAAAAAGTTCATCGAAGTTCAAAAAAAGTTCACTGAATTTGAAAAAAGTTCATCAAATTCGAAGAAAAGTTCATCAAATATGAAAAAAAATCATGATTTTGGAAAAAGGTTCATCGAATTTGAAAAACAAATCATGATTTTGGAAAAAGGTTCATCGAATTTAAAAAAAGTTCATCGAAGTTCAAAAAAAGTTCACTGAATTTGAAAAAAGTTCATCAAAATAAAAAAAACAGTTCATTGAATTTCAAAAAAGTTCATCGGATTTGAAAAAAGTTCAACGAATTTGAAAAAAGGTCACCAAATTTGAGAAACATTTTGAAAAAAAAATCGTAATTTTGAAAAAGTTAACGGATTTTGAGAAACATTTCGCGGATTTTATAGAAAGAAAAAAGAGAAACTAAATGACAAAAAGAAAAAGTAGGTAAAGAACAAAAGGGTGAGGACGAGGGTTAGTATTCACAAGAGATGTTGTTAGTGTGTTGGTTACTGCGCTCCATGTAGGACAAGTCGATCGCAGGATCGAATCACCTCGCCGCGCAATTTTTGTTGCAGTTTTTCACAGAAAAAACCAACTAAATGGGCCGGCCCAGCGCGGACGGCGGGTGTGCGCCGGTTTGCGGAATACGAAGAATCAGGCGCATAAGGCGCCGAATAGGAACCAGCGGAAACGTCATCCGTAGGGGATATGCATTTTCACATGTATCATGTGAATTTGGCCGATCCTTCCAGTGTACCTTGAGTTGAGGCACCACACCGTCCCGTGGTGGACAAACTTGGACTTGAAGATTTGACCTGGTTGAAGCAGTGCCGGGGTGGGTGGTGTCGCTCGAGAATTTTCCGCTTTAGTCATCACTCTTGGAGGAAGATAGTTCTTTAGTTGCGGCACATGGATGACACTATATCTTAGAAGAGAGCGGCAGAGCAAGCTTGTAGGAAACTACCCCAACACGTTGCAGCACGGTGTAAGGCCCATAGAACTTCAATGAGAGCTTCTAATTGTGACACGCTGCAAGAGACTTTTGCAAGTAAGATTGTATTTTAGATATGCCAGATCTCCCACCTAAAAGGAACGTTCACTGATGTTCTTGTCTTCCTGCCGCTTCATATGGAATTGAGTCAGCTGCAATTATTGGTGCAACAGCTCAGTCATAGACGGACGCTCATCCAACATCTCGATCAAGTTTGTGGACACAGTTGTGGGCACGCCAAAGGGAAGATGTAGATGTTAGGAACACAGTAATTTAAAAAAAAATTCCTATGCATATGCAAGATCTATCATGGTGATGCATATTAATGAGAGGAGAAGAGTGTTGTCCACGTACCATCGTAGACTGTAAGCGGAAGCGTTATGACAAGGCGGTTGATGTAGTCGAACGTCTTCACGATCCGACTGATCCTAGCATCGAAGGTACGGCACCTCCGCGATCTGCACACGTTCAGCTTGGTGACGTCCCACGAACTCTAGATCCAGCTGAGTGTCGAGGGAGAGATTCGTCAACACAACGGCGTGATGACGGTGATGATGATGCTACTGGAACAGGGTTTCGCCTAAGCACCGCTACGATATGGCCAAGATGAATTATGGTGAAGGGGGGCACCGCACATGGCTAAGGGATCAATGATCAACTTGTGTGTTCTAGGGTGCCCCCTGCCCCCGTATATAAAGGAGCAAGGGGGAGGCCGGCCGGCCCTAGGGCCGCGCCAAGGGAGGAGGAATCCTTCTCCTAGTAGGAGTAGGATTCCTCCTTTCCTAGTTCTACTAGGAGAAGGGGAAAGAAGGAAAGGAGAGGAAGAGGAGAAGGAAGGGGGGGGGGCTCCCTAGTCCAATTCGGACTCCCTATAAGGAGGGGGCGCGGCTGCCCCTTGTGGGTTGCCTCCCCTCTTCCCTATGGCCCATGTAGGCCCAATCTTTTCCCGGGGGGTTCCGGTAACCCTCCGGCACTTCGGTTTTCTCCGAAATCACCCGGAACATTTTCGGTGTCCGAATTGTTGGGGAACGTAGTAATTTCAAAAATTTCCCACGCACACGCAACGAGAGGGGAGAGTGTTTTCCACGTACCCTCGTAGACCGAAAGCGGAAGCGTTAGCACAACGCGGTTGATGTAGTCGTACGTCTTCACGATCCGACCGACCAAGTACCGAACGCACGGCACCTCCGAGTTCAGCACACGTTCAGCTCGATGACGTCCCGCGAACTCCGATCCAGCAGAGCTTCACGGGAGAGTTCCGTCAGCACGATGGCGTGGTGACGGTGACGATGTTGCTACCGACGCAGGGCTTCGCCTAAGCACCACTACGATATGACCGAGGTGGAATATGATGGAGGGGGGCACCGCACACGGCTGGGAGAGATCAACTGATCAACTTGTGTCTAGAGGTGTCCCCCTGCCCCTGTATATAAAGGAGCAAGGGGGAGGCGGCCGGCCTAGGAGGAGGGCGCACCAAGGGGGGAGTCCTACTCCCACCGGGAGTAGGACTCCTCCTTTCCTTGTTGGAGTAGGAGAGAAGGAAAGAGGAGGAGAGGAAGAAGGAAAAGGGGGCTGCACCCCTTGTCCAAATCGGACCAGAGGGGGGCCGCACGCCTCCTTCCTTTTGGCCTCTCTCCTCTATTCCCGTATGGCCCAATAAGGCCCATATACTCCCCGGTGAATTCCCGTAACTCTCCGGTACTCCGATAAATACCCGAATCAC